GGGAAGAGAGCTGGCGTGGGGAACAGAGCTGGCGTGGGGAAGAGAGCGGATATTAGGGACTCCTGTGCTGTGGTCGAGAGGCCTGGAGAACAGGTTCTGTGGCAGCTACAGCCTTGTGGGCTGATAGTAGGCTGAACACTTTCCCCAGCCCACTCGCCCAGCTCCTCTGGGTCCTCCCTGCAGCTGGAGTTGGGGGATGTGACCCCACCCCCCGCCAGGGTCTGAAGACGGGAGGCTCTAGGCTCTCAGCGGTGTGACGTCACCACAGCCCAAGGTGTCAAGTCCATATGCTCCAAAGCCATGAACAGTGGGAAGGAATCGGAAGGAGCTGTGGCTCGGCAACTGGTGCCCGTGCCCCTCGGCTGGCACATGTCCGCAGCACGGCCTACCTGAGGGTGCTTCTGGTCATCCTGTCCTTGAATGGCTGGAATAAAATAACTTCTCTTTTGAGGAGCAAACGTCTGAAATTTCCCTGCGGCTTTCTCGCCTACACCACCCCCTGGTGGCAAGGTCTGGGCATTGCAGCACGCCTGGTCTGGGGGACAGATGGGATTTCGCGGCCGACGAAGGGAGACCCCGCGGGCCCACCCCAGACACCAACGGTGGAGAAAGGAGGTCAAGGCAGCAGACGCCGGGGTCTTGCCATGTGCTAGAATGATTTATTAGAACAAATTCCATGACAACTCATAGAAAATAACCGTTTTCTGAAAGACATCCATGAGACCACCTGAGGACAAACATACAGAAGTACCTCCAAGAAGCCAGACAAATAAGTTACCGATCCCAAGTCGAAGGCTGGAAGGGGGAGGAACAGGAATTTGTGAATAAAAAAACGTGTACAGCAATCACTGAGGGTGGGTGTGGCTGAGAATGGCCACTGTTTGCTTCCAGGGGACAGGCTGTGGGCAACCGTGTGGGGCATGCAGGAGGCCGGAGGGGGCCCAGTGCCGCCTCCGTGTGGACACAGCAGGCTCGAGGGGCGGGGTCCCGGCAGGGAGCCCGCCACCACTCACACACACACGTAAACATCACGGGGGGGAGGGGACACAGGACCCATGCGCGCGACTCCACGTCAGCTAAACGTAAACACGAGGACACACATCACCCGCGGCGGCCCGGACTCACACCCACTGGCCCCGGGCCCCATCCCGCAGTCGCCACTCACACAGGTACCAGGCACGGTGCAGAGCGACCTGCCCCCACCTGCCACAGCCCACGGGCTCTTTGGCTTAGAGGCTCCAGAAACAGCCCCCCTGCCCCGGGGGGGGCGCTCTGCCCACCCGGCGTGTTCCCAGCCGAAAGAACCCTGAGAAGGCAAGACTGTCCCTGGGGGCCTCTCCCTGCCCCACACCCCCCACGGGACCAGGAGCCCAGCAGCCTGCAGGGCCCCGAGCTGGCTGCAGACACCCCAGGAATGCCCACAGCATCAGGCAGGACGGGGGAGGGCTGGGGGGGCGGGTACAGCCCAGCGAGCTTCTGGAAGCCTGGTTTCCCGCCATCTCGGTCTAGGGCCCCCTCCCTCCCCCAGCCCCCAGCCCAGGACCGCAGGAAGCCAAGCGCAGGAGCCCGGCCTCCGAGGCTGGGCGGAGCTGCCCCATGCTGTGGAAACGCGCCTGGGCGAGCCGTGAGCCTGGGAGCACGTGTCTGGCGTGGGCGTACCTGCGTGCTCAGCCCGCATGGCGGCAGCCCGCACACTCAGTGGGCTTGGCAGTTGCATTGGCACCAAAGGCTTGAAGTGGTGGGGTTCCCGCCCCAAATGTCTCCACAGGCCACATCCCCGCCCCAGGCCCCCCGACCCCGGGGCAGCGGGGAGCCGCCCGGTGCTCGGCAGAGCTGGCTGCAAGTGTGCTGGCCGAGGGCCCCCTGCCCTCGAGTCCTGGGGGCTTCTTCAGCAGCCCCTCCTGGCTCCGTGTTTGGCACTGAATGACCGCCCCCACCCCCGGCCCAGCCCCTCTTCCTCCACCTGGCCCCGGCCAGCACACAGGAACAGGACACGTAAGCCCATGGGCGCCCTCAGCAGAACAGCCGCCCCCAACACAAAAGGCGGGGTGAGGGCCTTCCAGGCCCGGGGGCTGCTGCAGTGGCCCAAACCACTCTTTCCTTAAAAGCTAAAGACAGAAATAACAGCAGTGGGGAGGAGACGGGGAACACACCTGTGATGCCGGCCCTTGGCGGAGGCCGCAGCAGGAACTAGGCCAGGAGGCCAGCAGGGGTGGCCTCAGGGGCTGCACTGTCCAGCTGGGGCGCCGGCTGGGAGCTAGGGGGGGATGTGGGCACAGAGGCACCTGCCCACAGGGTTATGGCACGCGTGGGGGTCTGTGGCGAACCATCCGCAGCCAGGAAGGGCCGTGGCGGCAGACAAGGGGTGCCGGAGGTGCTGGACCCAGGGCACGCGGAGGCCGCCCCGGCCCCGGCCGCCTAGATCAGGAACCTCTCAGCGTCGGGGAGGAAGTCGGGCAGGAAGGCAGGGTCCGGGAGGCCCGGGGACCCGCAGTTCGCCCGCTGTGGGAAGCTCCTCAGAGGCAGGGCCGAGGGGGGCGAGGATGGGCTCTGGGCGGCCGGCCGGCCTTTCCCCAGCTGGGCCGAGCCCGCGGAGCCCCGGTTCCCGGTCAGCAGGTCCAGGTTCCCGCTGGGGTCCACGATGGCGTTGATGACTGCGGGGGCGGGGAGGGTCAGGCCAGCCGGTGGGTCCTGCCCTGCCTCCCGGCCCACCCCGGGGTCCCTCTGCCGGTGCCTCGGGCAGCACCGGGGGCCACACCCACCTTCCAGCTGCTTCTGCACGCGCCTCAGTTCTTTCAGAATGGAGCTGATCTCCTGGAAGCGGGCGGGAGGGAGCAGATGGAGCAGGGCGGCCAAGGGGGTCACGCCCCACTCCCTGCAGCCCGGCGGCTGGGTGCAGGCCGGCCCTCACCTTGTTGGACGTCTTCAGGATGGGCACCTCGTTCTCCGAGTTGATTCTGGCTTCCACCTCCTCCCAGGCACGCCCTGTGTTCTGAAAGAGGATCCTGCCGCCGAGGGAGGAGGCAGAGGACAGCGATGATGGAGCCCAGACCCCCTCCCCCACCCCCCGCCTGGGCCCAAGGGGAAACACAGGCACGGTGCAGGAATGGGGCTGGCTGGAGCCAGAGTCCCAGCCTCTGGGCCTGACGTGCGAACGGCTGGGGTGGAGGCTGGGGTCATCCTGGGGCTCTGGTTCCCGGGAACCGGGCATGCGTGTGTGCACGGGCACCCCCGGGGTGGTGTCCCCCCCCCCCCCCCCCCCCGCGGCCGGGCCTGGCTGAGAGGTGTGGTTGGGTCTGTGTCTGAGGGGTGTCTGGGGGGGCGGCTCCCACTGGCCCACAGAGCTCGCAGGGCCCTACGCACTTCATCTTCTCGGCGAGGTGCTCCGTGTTCTCCCGGATGGCGTGAGACAGCTGGGACACGGGGTTCAGCATCAGGTTGTCAAAGATCACCTGTGAGGACAGTGTCAGCATGGCGCCCGGGAGCCCTCCGCAAGGCCCTGCTCCCCAGGCGCACCCCAACGCCCAGCCGGGAGGGCCCCGTGCACACAGCCAGGCCAGCTTTCTAAGGGGCGGGTGGGGTGCCTGCCTCCTCGCGGCTCCGAGGCCGCATCTTGCTGGCGAGGGGGTCCTCACAGCGGTCGTTCATGTTCTGGTCCAAGTCTCGAGTGCTCAGGGAGCCAGGTGGCACCTTCTGGAAGTTGAGGCTGGCCTCGGGGATGCGCTGCACCAGCTGCAGACAAGGGCAGGTGGTGACAGCCCTCCGGGGTGGGGGCATCACCAGCAGGGGCAGACAGCATGCCTCCGCTCCTACAACAGCAGGGGGACGGAGCAGACCCCAAGCCCAGTCTGCTGGGGGCCCCGGGACGCCCCAGCCCCCAAGGAAGGCGGATCCCAGACCCCACACTTCAGGGCGGCCGTGTCGGGAGCCGAGCAGGGGACACACAGCCTTGGGGAGGGCTCGTGGCTCAGACTGCCGGGGCACGCGGCGGGGCGGGGCGGGGCGGGGCCGACGCGGCCAGGACCAGAGGACCAGGCCAGACCTCAGCAGGGTGGCAGCGGGGCGTACCTCCTCACGGGCGGAGATGGTTGAAGCAGGGGTGCTGGGCACATTGCTGAGGGAGGGGCTGCGGGCGGGCCCCGGCGAGCCCAGTGAGTCGCCGTCCCCAGCCACGTCGTGGATCTCCCGGGCCAGGATGGCCACGTCCTTCACTAGCGTCTGGCTCAGCCTGCACCCGCAGGAAAGAAGGCAGGTCCTGTAGGGTCCTCCTGGGCGGGGCGCCAGCGTTGGGGAGGTCGGCGGGGGGGGGTTGGCAGCCTGACGGAAACCTCCCCGGGCCGACCTCCCCTCTCAGGTGGAGGCAGGAGTCCTTCCCAAGAGGCAAGTGCGGGGTGAGGGGTACAGGCCAAGGGCATGCAGCCTCTAGTGTGGCCCAAACTGTGCCCAACCAGCCACTGGCAGTGCCAAACAGGGCCCCAAAGGAGGCTCAAGTGTCGGATGCCCCAAGAGGGGTGGCAGGGGTGGGGCTGGGGCCGGGCAGGAAGGGTGGGCGGAGGCACCCCACGCTCCAGAGCAGGCCACACCTTCCCCTCGGGCCACCCAGACCCTACTCTGCAGGCAGAGACACTGAGGCAGGAAAGAGATCACAAACAAGGCTCAGAAGCAGGCTATGAGTGAGACAGGCAGGCAGAGACCAGGAACCTCCCCGCAGGGGAGGGAGGGAGGCCACGGGAGGCCACGGGAGGCCACAGGAGTCCAGGCTCCCAGCCCCAGCCCGGCCCCGCTCACACCCCACACAGGTTAGGCATGCTTCCCCACCAGGCTCTCAGGCCACCCGTAAAAGGACACAGGCCAGCAGGGACCAGGAGCACCTTCTACCCCCTAGTGCCCACAAAGTCCCCAGGCTGACCGCTGTCCTCGAAGCACATCAGGTCCCACAACCAGCCTGTCCTGTGGACTGGAGCCCTCAGCCCAGGCTGGGGGTACAGGAGTCCCCTGTCACTGTCCACACCGCTCCCTTCACTCGAGGGCGCACGAGCAACACCCTCAAGGTTCCTGGGCACATCACTGCTGCAGTCGCCCAAGTGACGGGGCCTCCAAGGCCCACCAAGGCCCAGCGACCGCCCTCAGCTGTCCCAGCGTGCTCGGGACGCCGCCCAGCCAGCCCTCAGGGCCTGTGCTCTCCCATCGCCTCCTGCACCTCTGCCTGGAATGGACAGCCGAGCTTAGCCCCTCCCAGAAATGCTGAGCACAGCTGGAGACAACTATCCCGGCTGGCCCCTACCTCCCCAGCAAGGCTGACCTGGGCCCCCTCCAGATGGGGGCCCCCCAACTGGGTCCCACCTTCCCACGTCCCTCAAAGTCACGGATGCCCAACGGACGTGTGCCCCTGCCTGAGCACCAGCCCCCGCATCCTCCCTCCGGCCCCCAGCACATCGGGATGCCAAGCCTGCCCATTCTGGGGCAGGGGCCCCGAAGCCCACCGGGGTCCCTCCATCCCGTCTCCTCGCCTCTGCACGCCCCCCAGCTCTCTCCCAGCAGAGCCTCCTTCCAGAACCCTCACTCTGCCTCCTCGGCCGTCCGCCCCCTCGTCAGCCCTGTGCACTGCACCCCGCGTCCTGGGAGCTCCGTGCCCGGCCCTCTTCACGCCCTGCAGGTCCTCTCCGCTCAACCTCCAGCCGCCATGGCCTCTGTCACCACCTCCGTGTCTCCAGCCCCACGGACCGTTCTCCCAGGAACCACCTGCCTCTGGTCACCTTTCTAGGAGGCTCACAGGCTCAAGCTCAGCATCCTCAGCACCAAACACTCACCATTCACCCAGCCCTGGACTCTTCCTGCCCCTGCACGAGCCCCACAGAGCCCAACCACTGTAGCACTGACCACTTCTCAGTGGAAGACCATGCCCATTGTCCACCATCTCTGCACCAGCCTACAGCTCCTGGCCTGGAGGTGACCCAGAAAATAACCACAGGAGAGTTCACCTTTGACAAAAATAGTACAGTCCTTCCTCTTACCGGAGGCCCCACACCCTCCTGGACAGATCTGCATCCATCCACCCACCTACCTACCCATCCACTCCTCCACCCGCCCACCCAGCCACCCCTCTACTCACCCGCCCACCCAGCCACCCCTCTACTCACCCGCCCACCCAGCCACCCCTCTACTCACCCGCCCACCCAGCCAC